TCAATACTACCTTACGGCTTATGCATAATTTATATAATTTATTTAAGACACGTATTGTACAACCTCTATAAGGTGCATGTATAATTTGATCATAAACTCATAAACATAACTGCCACACGTTACAGGTTTGTATAATAAAAAATTTTTTAGCCACGTATAATTTATCATTATGTATAATTTATGTATGTATATTATTTTTTTTGTTATATATAATATATACAATGATAAAAAATCCGAATAACATATATACAAATAAAAAAAGTCGAAGTTATATCGAAAAGTGGCACATATTTAGAGGTTGGAAGCATGGGTGTAAGGTTTGTGACGAATGCAACCATCATTCACATCTATATTGCAAAACATGCAAAAAAGTAGTGGATGGCATATATAAGCGATGTGAATGCGATAATTCTCGAATGATTAACGTTAAATAAAAATAATCGCCCCATAAGGGCTGTCAGAATTAACGTTATACATAATTCCATGTAACAAAGATATTCGTCATAATAAATTTCGCATAAAATTTATCTATCACTTTGCCTTATCATGCATAACTTATTTGTGAGACGGCGACACAAGCAGAAATTGCCATTTTTCATTTATTGGAATTAGCGTACCCTAACCAAAGTCGGTCAATTAGCTCATGCCACATATATTTTTGATTTGCGGGGACCGAAACCTTGGTCCTTTTTAAAATAAAGTTCCCCGTTATGGCAGTTATTCAAATAGGCAAGTCACGGGGCATAGGTTTCTATTTCTGGTAAGTTTGAAATAAAAATAGATTTGGAAAAAACCATGAATTTAGATATTCGGAATGTGTCACTAATAATACCCCACATGTTCTTTTAATACTGTAACCGTACGTACGTTCAGTACATGCATTTGAAATTCATTTCTGGTTCATAACATTATTAATAAATGTTATTTAATTTATATAAATTAACGAAACTGTAGAAAATAAAAGGTTCTTACCGGTATAATGTGCAATTTTTGTTCCAACATTTTATCATGAAAAGCATTATTAATAGAACGAATAGAATTCACTAATAACATGTTACGTATGCATCACATTATCAGAGTTATTGTAATACACTTGTTTTTTTAACATTCTAACAATTATATTGTTGTGATGACTATTAGGTAAAAGAAATTAATCGGATTACAAATCGATTTTAAAATCAAGTGTTATATTTATTAAAACAAGGAAAGTTTTAATTCTTTATTCTAAAATGAATCAGCCTATTTGATTATGAAAAACTAACAATCAATAAATATTTCATAATAATAACAATGAAATCATGACTTTCTATATCACGAATCCTTTAATGAATCTTGATGGAGAATAGAATTAGAACAAAAACACACTAAAGAAACCAATAAAGTTTTTGAAGACGGGGTTGAGATTATTCATTAGCGACTACCTCCTTTCATTTGCTTGGCAGCTTGGAGTTTATTTCACTTGGTGAGAAAATCGAACTTAGATTTATATTTAGTAAGTCTAAGAGTTTATTTAATTAAGCAAACTGAAAATAATTAAATAATTAAATAATTAAAAAACACAAATGTCATCAAAAATTTTATACAAACCATTAAGTGCCAAGACATGTTGGTCAAGATAATAGATACTTATAGATCGAATCAAAGATACAATATAGGTATGTAGTTTGTATTAGCAGAGGTCTTTTTTAATTTAATGGCTACCCTACCTTGTCAGGTGCATCAAAAATATGTCAGAAGTAACTCGGGTTTGCATAAGGAGAGCATCTTCTTGCATTGTCAATACAATGTAAAGTTTCCAATTATATAATATAATTGGAATTTTACTTTGTATTCGATACACAGGAAGATGCACCAAACAAGGTAAAGTAGCTGTTAAAAATTGAAAAGATCTTTGCTATTTGTATTAACAAGAAAAGATTCTCTGATTTGATTTTGAAACTCTTATTATTGTAATTCTTGAAATAATAAGCATTTGCTTATTATTTTGATTACACGATTGTGGCTATTTTAGAGTCAATTTCAAAATAGGGGGTTTCAAAATTAACAAATAGGTAGAGCAATTTGAAAAACCTTATTTGTTTTTTAAGATTTTAAAATCGGAGATCTTTATTTCATGAAATCAGAAAATTTTAATCATACTTTGTAAAAAAAAAAATAAACCTCTTCAAATTGAAGATAAGATCAGATTGCCAGATCATTTATTTCAAAATAAATATAGTATCGATTTCGAATTTATATAGGGTGTGCATTTATGTTGTATCGTATAAGTATAAAAAACATCAACTTGTCATTATTTTAAATACACTCATGTGTTATTTTAAAACAAAAGATTTTCTAAGTTCAATATAGTCAACCTTCAATAAAAGTATGTTATTTGGTAAAAAATGCATTTATAAATATTAATTATAGAGTTATTTACATATAATATTAAATAATTATATTAGGCCGATCAAATTATATACGATTATCATGCAAACTCTTATAATCATGGATTTTTTCTTCTTGTTATTTTTTGTATGTTATTACATAAGCATAACAATCTCAAATTAAAACTCAGCTAGCCAATAATGACTTGTAAATCATGATTATAATTGTACAATAATATCGATATTAGATCATGCAATAATAAATATCATAAACTTTGGTTTGCTGGAATAAATAGTTGGCTGAAATATGTCGCAACAAAACAAATTTCATGATATTAATTATTGCATGACCAATATCTTATAATTACGAATAGTTTTAAAATTAAAAAAATAATTTCCGAAATAACAATTATCTATAATAGTTTTTTAGTTTAGTTAGATAAAATATAAAATATTAATTATTTATAAATAATTTGTATATATAATTTACTATGATTTAAATAAAATTTTAATAAGTTTTTTTCAATCTCTACATATTAAAATTTATTACCTTATTTTATTATATTATTTTTTAAAATGTCTTCTAATTTATATAAAAAACAATGTTTAAATTTAATTAAAATTGCTAAAGAAGCTGAATCAAGTAGTGATGAGGAATATAATCAAATGGATTTAGATTTAGAAGATCAAACTGAAATTGTTCATAATAAAATTCCTAAATCAAAAGACTGGGCTCAAAATTGTTTATTTAATTATAATGATAAAGAATTTAGAAAAACACTTAGAATGGATAAAAAAATATTTTGGGCCCTAGTAGAAAAAATTAAATATCATCCAATTTTTTATTCTAATTCAAATCACCTTCAAACTAGTGTTGAATTACAACTTGCTGTTACATTAAATCGACTAGGTACAAAATCTACTCTTTGGACAATTGCAACATTATTTGGATTTTGTGAAACAACAATATTAAATTTTTTAGATAGAATTATTATAGCTATTCAATCTTTAAAATCAGAATATATAGTTTGGCCTTCTGGAAATTATAAAGAAGAAGTTAATGCTAAATTTGAACAAATTCAAGGATTTCCAATGGTTATTGGGGCAATTGATGGATCACATATTCCTTTATTTGAAGCACCTAGTAAAGAAAATAAGGATGTTTATATGTCACGTAAACAAAAATATGGTATTCATTTACAAGGAATTGTGGATTATCAAGGTCTTTTTATTTCATATGAAATTGGATGGCCTGCATCAGTTCATGATGCAAAAGTTTTTTCAAATTCAGAAATTTTTAAAAATTATAAAAATTATTTTAAAGAAGAAAATTATTTGCTAGCTGATTCAGCATATCCTTTACTTCCATGGATTATGACACCATTTAAAGATCCACAAGGCTTACAAGCTCAACAACAAAAAATTTATAATACAGCACATAGTAAAACAAGAGTAGTTATAGAACAAGCTTTTGGTCGATTAAAAGCTCGATTTCCTTTTTTAAAAGAAATGAGAGTAAAGGATACAAAAAAAGCAACTAATATTATTGATATAGCAATAATTTTACATAATTTTGTTGAAAAACATAATGATATTTGGAAAAAAAATAATCCAAATGATGATGAAATAGAATTAGAACCAGAAGAAGATAATGAATTAATTGATCAATTAATAGAAAATAATGAAACAAATAGAACAGAAAAAGAATATGCTAAAATTAAACAACAAAATTTATTAGAAATTATTTTAACATATTCTTAAAAAATTAGGTTAAATTTATATTATTTTTTAATATTTATTTTTTAATAATTTTAAATTTATTTTTTAATACAATTTTTATTAAAAATATATCTATATTAAGCTATTATTTGCAAAAAAAAAAAAAATATATATATATATATAAAAAATTAATATATCTTTGTTATAAGAATTCTTTTAAAAATCATTTAATGCTTTAAAATTCTATGTATTACAGAACTTATTGGGTAATTGAAATATATACTAAGTTAGTTTTATCAGAATTATCTTAACCAACTGATGATTTTTTAAAGAGTTTTATAATTTATCACTGTAGCGATATATACTAGTCTATGCGGAGTTTCAATCTTCGCTTACCAATAATTAATATTAATGAGTTGTAAGCATGGTTTAAAACTCCGCATATAGGTCTATTATATCGCTATGGCAATGCCTTATAAAACCCTTTTTTAAAATATATTCTAATATAATATACCTAATACTAGTAACCAGAAGCAGACGGACAGAATTCTAGGTAATCACTTGCTGTCTTAAAAACAAAGTGTCCTCTGCTTCGCTTCAAACAATTATTATGTATATCGTTTAATATAAAATAATTATAAATTGACAAAGTGCTATATTTTAATCTCTACTGATTGAAAAATAACTTAGATCAATCATGAATATTTTTTATTAAAGAAAATTTCTTAAACTAGTTCGATAATAATCATCCAATTAATTACATTGCGATTTTTTTTAAAAAATAATACTTTCTTTCGTTAAGGCTTTTTATTACTAACTTTAGTTCATTTTTTTAATAGTTAGAGTTAGAGCAAGCGAATATTATCCTTCATATTAGGGCAAAGACAGGTTAGCTTTAGTTCGAGAATTTTAATTTCATAAACTGTAGATAGTATCATGATTTCACCACGTTGTCCATCCTATTTTTGCAAGTTTTTGACAATAAATAATGCTTTATGTTTCACTCCAATTCTATTGTACTATCAAACTCGAAGTGTTCTATTAGCACTATCCACTGCTAATTTTTGATCCCTTCATCTCTAGTGTTCTAATAGCATCACCTATCTTTGAATAGTTTATTTTTGTTCATCTTTTCAACTCCAATCTATTTCGATATTAATGACCAACTTGGAGTTATAACCATCTCTGCAAATCTTAGATCTTCAATTCTAGTTTCATTAAGATAACAATATCTAATCAATTCATTACCAATCTTTGCAAATTTTTAACAATAAATGAATGCCTTATGTTCATCCTTTTCAACTTCAAATTATATTGTGTTAACAACATCCAACTCAGAATGTTCCATCATCGTTATCCATCTTTGCTGATTTTGAACCATTTCAACTCCAATTCTACTGTGATAGCAATATTCATTCCAACAGCACTACCCATCTCCGAATGACTTATTTTGCTCATCTTTTTCAACACAAATCCATTTCGATAGTAATACTCAGCCTGGAGCGTTCATTTATTGTTAAAAATTTGCAAAGATTGGTAATGAATTGATTAGATATTGTTATCTTAA